ATTATTACTAATATAGGATTGTCAGGAGCCATTTCAGGCTTCTCCTTTCTCACAGGGCATTGAAGTAAAAATCTTGAGACAGAAAACTTAAAGTTAGCCAAATCATTATGTGCTGATCGTGGAGACTCAAGCTCTGGAAAGTACCACAAAGTGTCTTCAGGGCTTGCTGCTATCACTAACAGCAGGTGTTCTAGCCACTGACCTTGCAACTGCCCTGCTTAGCTCTCAAACTGCCCCACTTAGTTGCCTAGCTACCAAGCCCCTCCTTCCCTTCCCCCTTTCCTGAGTTCCCCCTGCCCGAGTACCTTTCTGAGGAGTATTTAAGGCATGAAACTTGCTTCAATAAACGGATGCCTTGACAAAATACTGCTTGGCATCCGTTTCTCTTTCCTCCCAAGTCTTTCAGATAGTGCCTCTTCAAGACCCTGGAGTAACTTAGGACCTGCTGGGTGGGTCATAGGATTGGGTGAAATGATGTACACCCAGAGATCTCAAAATGAGCGAAAATGGAATTGGATAATAGGTAGATTACTTACTCCTACTAATAAGTTTGTAATAGAAGGAATACTTGTGAAATATTTTTTATGGATTACATTGGTATACTTTTATATAGTGACACAAATTCGAATTATATTTATTATATAGACTGTTTTGATTTTTGTTTAGAATATTTGTAACAACTATATAAGGTTATTATGTCAGATTGTATAAATGTATGATTCTACCTGTTTAAAACATATTTTTATTGATGCAATTTTATGATATATTTATCATATTGCATTATATTACTCTACCTCTGATCAAGATTTTTATACATTGTTTACATTTTGAAGTCATTGTCCTGCTTTACTGCATAGTTCTTTAAAGATTGTTTTATATTCTGATATGAAGTCTTATTCTTCAACACTGTGATGAGACTTTGGTTGATTGGTCAGTCAGTTGTCTGTCAACTACTACACTTTTTGGAAGCTGCTAGACTGCACTACCTGCCTACTCAAGTAATATTATTGCTCTTCTCAGGTCTTTGATGGGGTTGAAGATGAGATAATCATACTTACCATCCTCTTATGATCTAGTTAAGCCATTTCTACTACAACATGGACTCCTTAGGATAAAATGCTTATCAAACCATTAGGATGTATTCCTTCCTTAATATTGATTATGCTTATTGTAATTCTAACTTTAATTTTGACATCTTGTGTACAGAGTTTTGTATAGGGTTTGGAATTTCGTATTAAGTTAAATGGGTAGGTGCTGTGAGAGCTCCTTCAGTCAACAGCTTTAAAATATCAATGCACTTGGGCATGGTCTCTTACAGTATGAATGAATCTATAAAGGGTATAGTTGCTCTCTTGAATCCAGTTCTTGATTCTGGATGCTAGCTATATTGTATATGAGATCCATTGCTCTGTAGGTGCTCATCTGACCTATAAAAGCCCAAGGTATTCTTACACTCTAACTTGGTGTTTTCAGAAGTCAAAGATTCAATTAGTACTCACATAGTTCAGGGTCTGTCACTCTGACTTGTACAGCCTTCAAAATTCATCATTAAAACATGAACTCAGTGTTACATGATGAACTTAGAATGAATGCAGCTACATTAGGTAAAATCAAGCACTTCCGTCTCAAATGTTTCATGTGTGATTATTGGTTTGGGAAGATTGGGAGATATGGTATAAATCTTTAATTTTCTTTTGGAAAATGTGTGGATTGTTTTTAATTAAATATCATAAATCAGTCTGCCTTAGCAAGAGGAAGTATTTCATTCAGCTACAAAACTAAGAAAAGTTCCATATTTCAGCTATTCATTTTATACTATCACTTTGTTTAATTCACCCACAAACGGCTGTGAATCAAGGATTTTTTAATTGTTTTTTATTCAACTATATTTATCCACTATTCACCCTTCCTCCCCCATCCCATTGTCCCATGATTCACATGTTCCAAATTTACTAAGATCTTGTCTTTCTCTATGTCCTATATAGAATAGATTTATGTATGTCTCTGTTTGTTTCCTCTTTGTTGTATATGTTCTGGGCATTGTGAATTGTAGGCTGACTGTCCCCTGTTTTTTATTGAAAAGCCACTTAGGAGTGAGTACATATATTTTTTCTTTCTGGTTCTGGGTTAACTCACTCTTTTATGATGTTTTCTAGGTCCATAAATTTGCACATAAATTTCAAGATGTAATTGTTTTTATCCACTCTGTAGTACTCTACTGTGTAAGTATACCACAATTTCTTTTTCCATTCTTCTGAGGAGGGGTTGTTTTCAGGTTCTGGCTCTGACAATATTGCTGTGAACACAGTTGAGCATTTGTCCTTGTGGTATGATTAAGCATCCATTGAGTACATATCCAAAGGGCATGACTGGGTTTTATGATAAGTTGTTTCCTAATTTTCTTTCATTTTTTTTTAATTTTTGGTTTTCTAAGACATGGTTTCTCTTGAGCTTTGGAGCCTGTCCTGGAACTAGCTCTTGTAGACCTGGTTGGCCTTGAAGTCACAGAGATCTATCTCTGGCTCCCAATGTGCAGGGATTAAAGCCATGCCTCACAACCCGGCAGGTGACTTTCTAATTTACGGAATAACCATACTGATATCCAAAGTAGCTGACTCAGTTTGTAACCCCATCAAAAATGCAGGAGTGTTCCCTTAACTCCACATCCTCTCCAGCTTAAGTTGTCATCAGTGTTTTGATCATGCCTATTGTTACAGATGTAAGAGGGAATCTCAAATTTGTTTAGATTTTCATTTCTCTAATGACTAAGGAGTTTGGAAATTTCCTTAAGTGTCTCTCAGTCATTTTAGATTCATATGTTAAAAGATTTTTTTTTAGGTCTGTACTCCATTTTTATTGGAGTACTCCATTTTTTATTTGATGATCAATTATTTAAGTTCTTTGTATGTTCTAAAGATCAGTCTTCTATCCAATGTGGTTTAGGTGAATATCTTTTCCCATACTACAGGCTGCCTTTTTTTTGTATTGTTGATCATGTCCTTTGTTTTACAGAAACTTTTGCTTCAGGAAAACTCATTTATAATTTTTCTCAGTGTCTGTGATGCCTGGGGTTATAATTTGAAAGTGGTCCTCTTTACCAATGTGTTCAAGTGTACTTCCAACATTCTGGTTTTTTTTTTTTTTTTTTAGTTTTTCGAGACAGGGTTTCTCTGTAGCTTTGGAGCCTGTCCTGGCACTAGCTCTTGTAGACCAGGCTGGCCTTGAACTCACAGAGATCCGCCTGCCTCTGCCTCCCGAGTGCTGGGATTAACCAACATTCTGTTTTATGTAGTTCGGTGTGTTTGTCTTTATGTTGTAGTCTTTGATCCATTGGGACTTGAGTTTTGTTCATGATGATAGATGTGGATCTACTTTCATTCTTCCCCACATTGATATTCAGTGATGCCATCACCATTTGTAAATATGTTTTCTCCATTTTATATTTTTTGGTGTTTTGTCAAAAATCAGGTGTAGTAGGTGAGTGGAGTGATGTCTGGGTCTTAAAATCAGTTCCATTAGTCCTCCTATCTGTTTTTGTGCCAACACCAGGCTCTCTTCAGTACTGCAGCTCTGCAGTCATCTAAAGAAGTCAGGGAATGTGATGCCTGCAGAAATTATTTTTTATGTAGGATTGTTTTGGTTATCCCGCATTTTTTTGGCTTTTATATATGAAGTTGGGTGTTTTTATTTTGAGATCTGTGAAGAATTTTTCTGATATTTACATGGGAATGGTAGTGAGCCTGTAGATTGCTATGTTGATTTCTACCTAACAAGGGCAAAGGACATCTTCCCATTTTCTGGTGTCTTCTTCAAAGATTTAATGTTCTTTTCCAACAGTCCTTTCACTTCTTTAGTTGGTAATTCCATAATATTTTATATTATTTGTGGCTACTGTTAAGAGTGATGTTTCCATCATTTATTACTTCAAACCATCTTTCCTTTTCAGAAAATATTCCTTGTAACCACATTCTATCTACCTTCCTGATGACCACTCCCAATCTTCTGATAACTATAATTATATTCCCAACTTCTAAGGATACTTTTATACAAAACCTACAAGTAAGCGTATGAGTGATTTGACTCTTGATGCCTCTCATATTTCAGTTAATGATATCCTTTGAGCTTAAAAACATTGTTGAAACTTTTAGGATTTTATGGTTCTGGTTTGAGAGCCAAGTTGTGTTTCTTTCACTGGGCCTTTTAATGTTTTGGCTGTTTTCAGGGAGATGTTGTTTCATTATCTAGTTCTGGATTCAAAGACAAAGTTCTTTCCTTTGGCTGTGGTTTGAAGACCAAAGTTGGAATACCCTTCCTGTAACTGAAAAGGATTTATCCATTACTTTGCTGGTTCAAACTAAAATAAAGAGAGTTATAATGATGCATGAACAAATTGTTGACATTTTCAAACTTTTTTCTACACAATAACTGATTTTTGTTAACTGACTGTAAGTGGCTTGACATCTAAAAGAACAATTTAAAAGAAGCACCCAGCTTTTTCATCAGGTCCAAAAGATTATGATAATATGCACAAGCTTTCTCAGATGACTACACACTAAGTCTTACTCTTATATAAAACACAAAACATTATGACACTGAATTCATTTATAGTTTCACTACAGTATGATTTTTTTCTCATATTTTTGAAAAGTATCCAAATTATCTTCAGGGTTTCTCTACAGAAGGGCTCATATTATGTATTTGGAGATAATTGTGAAAAAGAATTTACCACATTCCATTCACAGGTATCTCTAGAGTATGTTACATTTTAAGCTTTTGAAGAGTACAGGGGTCTGCAAAGGCCTTATCACACTGATATCATTCATAGGGTTTCTCTCCAGTATATGTCCTTCTATACATTTGAGAGCACCATGTTGAGCAAAGGCCTTAACACACTGATTACATTCATAGAGTTTCTATCCAGTATGTGCTCTTTTATGCCTTTGAAGATGACTGAGAAGGGCAAAGGCCTTACCACACTGGGTATATTCATAGGGTTCCTCTCAAGTATGTGTTCTTTTATGGCTTTGAAAATTACTGTGGTGTGCAAAGGCCTTACCACACTGATTACATTCATGAGGTTTCTCTCCAGTATGTGTTCTTTTATGCCTTTTAAGATCACTGTGACATGCAAAGGCCTTATTACAGTGATTACATTCATAGGGTTTCTCTCCAGTATGTGTTCTTTTATGCCTTTGAAGATGACTGAGACGTGCAAAGGCCTTACCACACTGATTACAATCATAGGGTTTCTCTCCAGTATGTGTTCTTTTATGCCTTTGAAGATGACTGAGACGTGTAAAGGCCTTACCACACTGATTACATTCATAGGGTTTCTCTCCAGTATGTGTTCTTTTATGTGTTTGAAGAACACTGTTTTGAGAAAAGGCCTTACCACACTGATTACATTCATAGGGTTTCTCTCCAGTATGTGTTCTTTTATGGCTTTGAAGGTGACTGTGTTGTGCAAAGGCCTTACCACACTGATTACAATCATAGGGTTTCTCTCCAGTATGTGTTCTTTTATGCATTTGAAGATGATTATGTCGTGTAAAGGCCTTACCACACTGATTACAATCATAAGGTTTCTCTCCATTATGTGTTCTTTTATGTCTTTGAAGACCACTGTGCCATGCAAAGGCCTTACCACACTGATTACATTCATAGCGTTTCTCTCCAGTATGTGTTCTTTTATGGCTTTGAATATTACTGTAGTGTGCAAAGGCCTTACCACACCGATTATATTCAAATGTTTTCTCTCCAGTTCGTGTTCTTCTACGCAATTGAAGATGAATATGACGTGCAAAGGCCTTACCACACTGATTATATTCATATGGTTTTTCTCCAGTTTGTATTCTTTTATGTGTTTGAAAAACAGTACATTGAGTAATGTCTTTACCACACTGATTATATTCATAGGGTGTCTCTCTAGTATATATTCTTTTAATCTTTTGAAGATGGCTCTGATCAGCAAAGACCTTACCATGCAGATTACATTCATATGTTTTCTCTCCAGTATGTTTTCGTTTATGACTTTGATGAGTTACATACAGAAAGTCTTTATTATCTTGAACATATTCATAGGGTTTCTCTCCACTGTGTGTTCTCTTATGCATTTCACGATGATTGTGACAAGAAAAGACTTCATCACATTGCTTAATTTCACAGCATATTTCTCCGCTATGTGTTTTTTCATTCCTTAGAAGATGAGTGTTATAAGACAAGACTTTACCACAGTGAGAATATACTGAAAACTTTTCTCCAGTTTGATTTCTTTCAATCCTGCAAGCAAAATTTACACATGTAAAAGCTTTACCACATTCAATGCAGTTGTACCTTATACCTATATGAATTAACTTCATATTTTTTCAAATTGTAAAAAGGAATCTAATATCAAGGTTTTATAGCTTTGTTTAAAATCATGTTTTGTTCTCTCATTGGGGGTCATTTTACATCTAGAAAAAATTTTTGTGATGATAAATTCCATTGTGTCATGGTTTACCTTTTCATCTATAACACTACCTATATTTTTCTAGGGTATTTTTTACATTTTTGAAGAGAACTGCATATACTGAGTGCTTTACCTGTTGTAATAAGAGTGGCGGGCTACGTTCCTGGCACCCACCCACTCATATTATGACAGAGTGGCTCTCTAACGTGATGGACTACATCCACTTTAAAAACCTGAGAGGTCTTTAGAAAAGGGAGAGAGTTTAATACAGCTTTGGCTTTTTGTGGGTGGCTTGCCACAAAGAAGTTTTCCTGACTCAGCAGCAGGAAAAAACTGGCTGTTTTAAAATGCCGGCTTTCTGGGCTGTGCCGCCATCACCATATCTGTCTGGCTCCTGCTGGAGACAGAGCTTTTGAATGGAGCATTTGGAGTAAAGTGGTACACCTCGCTTGATGGCGATGTGGACTGCCATGTGCCTGGAACTGTGAGTGGCTCAGGGGCACCAAATGGCTCTGAGGCAGGAGAGGCTCAGCTCAACCATGCTGAACTATGCTGGTCTCAGCAGGAACTACCGTAATTACCATAATAATAGCATGGTTAAGGTTTAGACTAGGCAGGACTCAGGTGGTACCATATTACCTGTACATGGTGCAACTTAAGTTTTTAAGAACTGCTTAACATTTTAAGAAATGCTCCTGGATAGTAAAAAAAAATTACAGATTCACAATAAAACAGATTCAGACATAAAAGACCACTAAATGAGTTACAGTGTTGGATGAATGTACGTAGGCTTGGGAGAGAGAAGAAAAAGAATATAAAGAATAAAGTTAATGTCTTTAAAAAAAGGGTAAAGTCTTTAAAGAGACAGAATAAAGTAAACTGATAGAGTAAAAATAAGACACATAAAAATGGAAAATTCACAGTGAGTCTGGATTCTTTGTATTATTGTGCTTTCTTTAAAATTTTTGACTGTACAGGAGCTAAGTACAGAGAGACATTTTATTACATGGGCTACCAAGCTGAACCAGAATGGATTTCATAAGGGTATTATGACTTCAGAATTTTGGTTTAAGGATATGATGCTTTGGAAAGGAGTTTCTTCTTTTGTTTTCACAGAGGATGAGACCCTGTGGATTGTGTCTATCCCAATATGGTATGATCATGCCCTCCTGAGAGGTTGCTGTGAACACCTTCAGAAAATTACTTCACTCAACTGCCGACTGAGATGAACCTAGCAGACAGGTTATCCCATAAAAGACCTGAATAACAGCACCCCCATTCAGCAGGAAGCAGTTTGGAGAGAAAAAAACTGTGCCCATGTTCCCAAATATTGTTTATAAATGTTCTTTTACATTTAAAGGGGGATATGATATAGGTATGAATAATTTGCATTGGTGTGGATTTTAAGGTCAATTTTGTTATACGTATATGTATTTCAGTATCTTGATTAAGGTATTGTGATTGTGTAGTTCATTTTTAAAATGTAATGTATAATTAGGAAATACAGGTTGTTGATGGATAATCATAAATATTAGTCAAGCTTGTAGTCATGTTAGTTAGATATTCAGGTTATATATAGAGATATATTTCAGTTAGATAGGTATTCTTTATATCTTTTAAAGACTGCAGAATAAGAATATGGCATTTAAATGTTTTAATCCCTTAGGGCTTTTCATGACAATGAGACACATCTGCTCCTGGCAGCATCAAGCTACTTCAAGAGGAAGATGGGCATCGAAGAGGCTCCTTATGGAGTTTGATAGCCATTTGGGCAAGAAACTGCTCTTGCCTGGACTGTTGCATAAACTGGACACAAAGAACCCGCAGAGAAAGGACAGCTGAACTTGCCTAAAGGCAAGATGTTCTTTCAGGGTTCCTGATTCATGAAAGAGTCTGCAAGACATTCTGCAGGACACAGCAGAAAGTGACTGAACTGTCTTTGAAATTTCCTGCTTCATGGAAATGTCTGCTGAACACTATGGGTCTGAAGGCCGAAGACGGATGCCCCAACGAAACAAAAGAACTTTGGGTGACTGTACAGGGAGCAAGATGTCTCTGTCATTTCTAGAGTTTTGGATTTCTTGTTTACTTAGGTAATATTATATCACTCTGGAGTCTTGATGGAGTTGAAGAATAAATAAATAGTTATAGTTTTCCTTAGTTATGATAAAAGATAAAATAGATATAAATATTGTAACTGTAATTCTTGCTTGATAACTGTTTTGCTATATGTAATTGTACTATGTTAAAGTTAAAGCCTTTCTTTTTTGTTTAAACAGAAAAAGGGGAAATGATGGAGGTGGGTCTTGTATCTTATCTGTTGCTTTCATTGGTTAATTAATAAAGAAACTGCCTAGGCCCATTTGATAGGCCAACCCTTAGGTGGGTGGAGTAAAGAAAACAGAATGCTGAGAGAAAGAAGCCGAGTCAGTGAGTCGCCATGATTCTCCCATCAGACACAAACACAGGTTAAGATCCTCCCTGGTAAGCCACCAGCCCAAGGTGCTACACAGAATATTAGAAATGGGTTAGATCAATATGTATGAGTTAGCAAATAAGAGGCTGGAACTAATGGGTCAGACAGTGTTTAAAAGAAAACAATTTCCGTGTAATTATTTCGGATAATGCTAGCCATGCGGGTGGCCGGGTGCCAGGAACGTAGCCCGCCACTCTTATTACAACATTTACAAACATTACTCCATTCATAATTTTACTATATTGTGAATCATTATACATTTGGTAAGTGAACTAAGACACCCAGAAGTATTTGCATAGACCTAGAACTCATGTTTGTTTGTTTGTTTTTGTTGTAATGTGAGTTTGTATTTATGTATTAACCATGATGATAGAAAATAAATTAACTTTGTATTTGTGGATCAAATTAAACATGTATACTCTACATAGGAACTACAGTTTATCTTCTTAATTGTTCTTAAGGAGAGGTATGCTAAATATTTCCATATTCCTATTCCATATTCCTATGCTCATACACTTGTGTCAAGAGTGACATATCATATATATATATGAAAAAATCATATATATATATATATATATGAAAAAAAGAATAGTGTATAAAAGATTTCCAAAATGAATCCACAAGCTTCAACTTTCAGAGACTTGAGGTATAGATATTAAGGTTTTTCCACATCACTGCCCCTTGACCCTTGACTAATCTGATTTCACTAAACTTAGCACAGTCACAAAAAGTATATGAGTGATACAAGGCTTACCATGGGCTATTGAATTAGTAGAAAGTTTTGCAGCTATACTCATCATCATTGAAATATGTATACATTTTCTGTCATGAATAGCAAGAAGCAAATGAAGCAGCAGTTCTACAACATAGCTCTCATGATGCTATGAATCAAATGGTGATATCTGTTTAGGCATTGCTACCTAGACTTTTTCTTAAATGAAGGCTTTGCAGATGCAATTCATATACAAGAAATTGAGGTATATGGATTTGTGAGAACTTAATAACCATCAATATATTTAAAGCTGTGCTTATTTACACTTTTGCTTTTGTTTTAAAGTTCCAGAACACATTACAAACTATTTAAGGGAAATTGTTATGAACTTGCCCAAGAAAATTACCTTGCATGTCTTCTAGAACATTTACAATGCTCTTTGGTGTTAAGGTCTTCCCAAAAGTATCCTAAAATACAGTACCAGAATAGAAGTTATATTATTTAAGAATGTGCAACAATTAGCTTATTATCTTAAGTGCACCTAAAAACTGTGACTGTGTTATTCACCCCATTATTCTTTCTCTAAAACAAATTACAGAACAAAATTATAAACCAAGGAAAAGTTGTCTCCATATTTTGAAACATGAAAGAAATTCATTTTCACCTATAGTAGTTAGGTTCCAGTAGGTCTCCAGCATCACATCTTTGTAGAGATTCTTCTGGGAAGGATTCAGTAAATCCCACTCTTCCTTAGTGAAGTTGATGTGCACATCATCATAGGTCACTTCCTTCAAAAATATACCATATATGAGTACAGTGTAAGTATGAGAGTGAAATGCATACTTCTTTGACAGTATAGTTTTACAATTCTGGTGTTCCCCATTCTTGTTCCATGACATAGACAGTCACTTTAGAAGGAAATTGAAAAGGAGAATCAATTCTGTTATTTCTGTGTCATTTGTATAGGATACCTCCTTATATGAGCAGTATCTATTCATGGGGAAAGAAAAAGAGAAAAGATCAACAGTATGTTGTATGCATGAGAAAATTAATGCCTACAGAAAGGAAAAAAAAGATGGGCAAACTGGGCTTATTGGTGTATTTTGCCTTTACCACAATGCTCAGCAAACAGAGGTAGGTATATTTGTTTCTGAGATGAATGCCAGTCAAGATTTAACAGAACTGCTTATCCATTTTTGGATACCATGTATTTTGTCAGAGGTTGAGGCATGAGCATGTCTTTGCCCAAAGGCTAGTTTTGACAACAAGAAAACAAGCTTTGAGTGTCTCCGGTGCTCAACATTCTCTGGAAAATAGACAATGCTACCAGTAGTAATTGTGTCTCACTTCAACAGTACCCTAGGTTATGTAAAATCCATATTTTACAGCTGTTTGAAGTGGCTGATTTACCTATCTATTCAACATTTATTCTTCATGTGTGTGAAAAACCTGATTATTCTAACTATAAGTAAGACAAACATAGATGACTATTGATCTATAATTCTAATACCTATATAACTTAAAGACTAAGACTTCATATTAGAATATTGTACAATAAACAATTGTACAACAAATGAGGACAATGGGCTCAAAATGTAACCAATGAATAGGTATCTTGATCAGTGGAAGAAATGTACATTGCAATTTGATAAATATATTTATTAATATATAAAATGTTTTAAGCATTGGTAGAAGCATGAATGCATATAATATTCAATATTTAACATTATATCAACATACAAAAATCTATATCAAAGCAATTGCCTATAAATTATAACTCACAAGAATTCACTCTATTACTTACTTATTATTAATGTATGTAAACTCACACTATCTTATTCCATCCAATTTTCCCTTTTATTTCAAAGAAATCCCTGAGCCCATAAAATTTCCCTTCCAACCCACAACCCTATACCAATTATAATCAACCCCTAAATGATGTCCCTAACCCTAGGACAAACTTTGTTGGGAGAGGGGATGTAGTCTTTTAGAATTACTTCCAGCTGTCATGGGGGCGATGTTCTTTCTATGGGATCCTGCGAAACTAAAATGATGGTTAAGTTCCAAGATTACTGTCTGGTATAACTGCAAATAGTCTCTGAGTATTATGTAAAGTTTTTCTGATCTTCTTCTTATAAGGTCTGTCCAGAACATTGTAAAAAGTGGACCATTTCAGCTAACCAAGTTGGAACCATCTTGAGCAGCTGGTATGCGAAACACGTCTGGTAGTAGCACTATCATCATCATGCCATTGTATCAACCAGGTTGAGTTGTTGTTGTGGGGCCCCAACTTCTTCCTGAAACTTCAGAAATTACTGCAGGAAAATTCATTGTGCATTGTGGAAAACTGAAACATTATTTATAGTCATATACAGACATATATATTCAATGACATGTACAATAGACTTGAAAGTAGAAATGTAGAAAAGTGAAAATTTTTCTAAATTCTTCTTTCTGTCCCATGATCCTGACATTGAGAGAGAAACTCTGAATTTTTATTTTAATGACATGCTTGGATTTATAGAGGGACAGAGCCAGTGTCTTTCTCCAAAACCAGCTCTATATATTCATAAATATACATCCACTTACAAAAGGCACCCAATGAAATGATAGGATAAAAGTGTACATTACTGAATCTAAAAAAAAAAAATAAAGGGGCATATATGTGTATGATGTAAAAGTATAGATCATTAAAATTAATTTAAAAAGGCAACTACTTATTTATATATTTTATATTGATATAGATATGGATGCTCCCTTTTGATATAAACTTGACATTTTTATCAAAACATACTGTCTATGATTTTTATATTCTTACTCAAACCATTTTATCTAATTTAACTCACTTAAACATGTAATGAAAATTTCTAGTCCTTGAAAGTTATTATTATAAACCAATTAGGATATAAAGTACTGGATGTTAGTACTTTGTTATTTATTACAATGGAAATTATACTCAAGTTAGGTATGTTTTCAACATTATATGGAATGTCATTAGCTGATTCAAATGTAAATACTTTAGAGAAAATGGTTGGTGAAGTAAAGCAAACTTTGTCTCCTTGGGAATTACTTCTGAAAATATACAAAAAGGTGATTGTATTAATTATTCAGCATATAAAATAGTGTTATAAAAATTTGAGCCCAAAAGTTAAAAATTAGGAGAGGTTATATGTGGAATCTTAATAAATTTCAGAAATTGTTGCAAGACATTGACCATCTATATCCCATTATTGGAGTAAAAAATTGAAAATAGTAATTAGAACCAAACCATAAAAGGTGACAAGCCAAAGAGAATTATCATCTAAAGCAGAAAAAAATGGTTTAGTAGAAATAAAATTATAAAAGGTACTTATGGATTGTTTGGATCTGGAGTTTGGTTACATTCAAGACTTTTTTTTTGATACAGGTTTCTATGTAGCTTTGGAATGTGTCCTGGAACTACCTCTTATAGTCCAGACTGGCCTTGACCTCCACCTGCCTCTGCCTCCCAAGTGCTGGGATTAAAGGCTTGAGCCACCACCTCCTGGCCGTCATTCTAGACATTTTATGCTCTATGCATTCCCTATAGGTATTTTACTGCAGAGGAAAGATATTATCTTATAATCGATATTTTAAACATATAAACATACTGAAAGACTAAAAAGTTATGTGGAAAAGAAACTGAGTTGTTTTTAAAAAGAAAACTGAAACTTCGTCTATTAGCAAGAATTTACCAAGGTTAAATTTTAGCATGTTTAGTCCAGTGCTCAAGTGTGGGTCTCTGTCTCTATCTCCATCCATCACCAGATGAAGATTCTATGATGATATGCAAGATATTCGTCATTATTGCACTGGAGCACTGGACTGAGCTCCCAAGGTCCCAATGAGGAGCAGAAGGAGGGAGAACATGAGCAAAGAAGTTGGGACCACAAGGGGTGCACCCACCCACTGAGACAGTGGAGCTGATCTATTGGGAGCTCACCAAGGCCAGCTGGACTGTGACTGAAAAAGCATGGGATAAAACTGGACTCTCTGAACATGGCGAACAATGAGGGCTGATGAGACGCAAAGGACAATGGCACGGGGTTTTGATCCTGCTAAATATGCTGGCTTTGTGGGAGCATAGCCAGTTTGGATGTTCACCTTCCTGGATATGGATGGAGGGGGGAGGACCTAGGACTTACCACAGGGCAGAAAACCCTGACTGCTCTTTGGACTGGAGAGGGAGGGGGAAAGGAGTGGGGGGAGGGGGAAAAGGGTGGGAGGAGGGGGAGGGAAATGGGAGGCTGGGAGGAGGTGGAAACTTGTTTTTTTTTCCTCCTTTTCTCAATAAAAAAAATTTAGCATGTTTTACTAATGTTGAAATTGAATCATTATGGACAGGAAGTGAACATTGGCAAAGAGCTTACAGTAATTTCTTGGGAGAAATTAACAACAAATATCTCTTTAGCCATAATATTAGTGATCATATAGGGAAATAACTATTTCTAGGGAAAGGTTTCATCTAGCTTCCTGTATTTAATTTTGGGTTTGAGTCTCTCTCTGATATCTACGCATACATAACAAATACTCATCTTTAACCTCTTACAGATCTGCTGCATATGACAATTAAAATGATTAAGTTTTTTTGCAATGAAATATGAGCATGCATTACAGTGACTCTGAAGTCTCCAAAAGAAGTGGGAGTCACACAAGGAAGATTTCAACTGCACTATGTAATTGTTTCACCATCTAAACACCAGGTTTGGACTACACACTGCTCGGGACAGTATCAAAATGGTACACTGAGATATTTGAGACACCTGGGAACATATGTTTTAATTAAGCAAACAGTTCATTTTGGAGGTTTGAGGAAGAGATGATGGGCAAAAACACAGACAGATTGAATGACAGAATTGAATCAAAGACCCAGATATTAATCCTCACACCTATGAACACCTGATTTTTGACAAATAAGCTAAAATTATACAATGAAAAAAGAAAGCATCTGCAACAAATGGTTATGGCATAACCTGATATCAACATGTAAGGAATGCAAATAGATCCATATCTATCACCATGCTCAAGTCCAAAGGGGATAAAGACCGTAATATAAATCTGATCACACTGAAACTGAAAAGAGAGAAAGTGAGGGCTGGAGAGAAGGCTCAGCCGTTAAAGGCTAGGCTCACAACGATAAATATGAAGAGAAAGTGAAAAGTAGCTTAACAAGCATGGAACAGAAGACCACTTCCTAAATATAACACCTGAAACGCAGAGTCTGAGAGGAAAAATAAATAAATTGGTCCTTCTGAAACTGAGAAACTTCTGCAAAGCAAAGGACACAGTCAATAACACAATAAGGCTGCTTATTGGATGGGAAAATAAATTTCCAATCCCATATAAGATAGAAGACTGATCTCCAAAATATATAAAGAACTCAAGAAATTAAACATCAAAATTTCAAATAATTCAATTAAAAATGGGGTACAGAACTAAACAGAGAATTTTCTATAGAATATTCTCAAATGGCCAAAAGACACTTAAGGAAATGTTCAACATCCTTAGCCATCAGGGAAATGCAAATCAAAATGACTCTGCAATACCACCTTACACCTGTCAGAATGGCTAAGATCAAAACACCAATAACTGCTTATGCTGGAGAGGATGTGGGAGTAAGGGGAAGACTCTTCCATTGCTGGTGGAAATGCAAATTGTACAACCACTCTGGAAAACAGTA